CTTGCTCTGGGCCCACAAATGTTAGGAGGGAGCCAGGGTTGAAGAATGGTCAAACTAAGAAAGAATGGTCAAACTAAAGAAAAACATGACAACCTTTGTTTTTTCTATAAGTTTAAATATGTTCCATCTGTTATTGAATTATAATCAATTACAGAGCTGTGTCTCTCCTGAGTCACTGATACAAATGCTTACAATCTTACTCCTCAGTCAAACATAAAATGATTTTACAATCCTTCCCCTAATCAAACCCCATATACCTTTCACCACTGTATAAAGACAGCTTGGTTACCTGAAATGTTAGCAGAGAAGAGGGAGGCCAGAGTGAGTGAGAGAAAGCTGATCTGAAATGCCTAGTAGAAAGACACGAAGATGGTGGTGGTGGACCTCGTTCACAGTCCCTGTTATGGCCAGATATTGGGGCTTACCAGGACCTACATTCCAGAAAGTTTCAGGGAGTGGAGGATTGGGATAGAGCAGTGGTTCTAAACAGAGGCTGGTTTAGTCATTCCTGCTGACGTTTGACAATATCCGAAGACAATTTTGATTGTGACAACTGCAATGCTACTGGCATCTAGTGTACAGAAGCTAGGGATGCTACTAAATATCCTACATTGCACAGAACTGCCCTCTCAATGAAGAATTATCTAGTCCAAAATGTCAACAGTGCCGAGGCTGAGAAACCCTCAGCACTGAGGGTAGACAGAAGGTAATTATGCAAGGTATTTGGTTGTGTTTTCATGGCCTCTTTTCTAAACTCTGCGCTCAGTCAACAAGAATAGTTTCAAATATCCATACCTATACATATACTTTCTCCTCATTGCTTAGAGTTGGACTATCAACACAATTTTGAGAGTTGACCCCCAACCCCCTGAGGATGCAGTAATTTATTCTGGACACTAGGGGTCCACCCTATATTGCTCTATCTATTGAGGAAGAGGGCAACAAACCAAATTCATCCACCACCCAGCCTAAAAACCTGTTTGAAGAGAAATGTTAGAATTATGCATTTGGCATTCTGTGATGGGGAGGGACAAAGAGGGTAGTCCAACTATTACCGGAGGTGTGTCCAGCTGTCAGGAAGGGAGATCCAGGGGCTCTGCTTAATTTCCCAGGGCTTTGTAGCCTAGAAGTTCCCGCCCCTTCAACCTTCCTGCCAAAGAAAGCAGGGGCGGGCCACAGCTAGAGGATTTGCAGAACTGTGCACCAAAAGGAATGAGGATCAGGCTTCAGAACCCCGGTGAAGTAGCAAATAGGGAAGTGGGCTAGGAATGACACATGACAAGAATGCAAAAAGGAGAGGGTGAGCTGAACCACTAGGGTGAAGACTAAGAAAGCTATGAGGAATAGGCTGGAAGAGGCCGAGGAGAGGAAGACAAAAGAAACAATCTGGAGAAGATGAGCTACTGCACAATTGGAAAGGGAGGAGCAGCGGAGGGTGGGAAGGTGAAAAAGAATGCAGAAAGGGAGAGGAGAGAAGGGAAAGAAACCAGAAAGAAGGAAAAAAATGATGAGTTCAGGAAGATAAGGTCATGATGAAAGGGGGCAGAGAACAGAATAGAATCAAAGAGAAGAAAAACTAATGCATACAAGAGGAGAATATATATATAGACACACACACACACACATATATATATGCACACATACACATATATATTCTCTTGTGTATATTCATTTCTCTGATATCAGTCGTAGTCACACAATTTGGGGCTTTAAAGAACCTGTAGATAATGTAGATTTAAATGTCCTCATTTCAGAAAACAAGGAAGTTTTACAGAGGGGAAGTGGCCGAGTTCAAGTGCACAAAGCTTTCTTACCAAAACCAGGACCCAAATCTCAGACTTCTGCAAGCCATATTATTCTTCCCACTGCACCCACTGTCTCTCATCAGTGGCCCCCATGTTGACATTTCAGCTTCACCTGTCACAGGTTTGAACAGGGAAAGTCCAAATTACTCTGGGAGGACAAAGAAGGGGCACTCAGTCATGCTTATGTGTCATGGGAGTCAAGGCTGACTTTTGAAAGGAGGTAATAAGGTGCAGAGGCAGAGGTGGAAGAAACTGTGTACCAGGATGAAGGATGAGTTTCTGTGAAAGTTAGAGAGAGCATGATCGAACGAGCAGCTCTAGAAGGACTGGAGGAGGGAATATGTTGGCTGGTGGTGGCAAGAGGCTTTGCAGTAAATCGTATCTTTTTTGTATTATTATTAATATTTTTTTTAGTAGAAATGGGGTTTCACCATGTTGGCCAGGATGGTCTCGATCTCCTGACCTCGTGATACGCCCGCCTCGACCTCCCGAAGTGCTGGGATTACACACATGAACCACCGAGCCTGGCAGTAAATAAAGGGGTTTCCAAAGAAAGGTTGAATAATTCACTTTAGCTAAAGAGTGGAGATTAGGCTGCAATAAGACAAGAGACAGGGAAGAAATGAAATGTCCTGACCCAAGATGGAACAGAAGAGGAATGAACAAATTCAAGCAATAGCTGAAAGCTACGTTTGGCAGGACTTGGTGACTGAATGAACAAGTGGAGAAGAGAGAAGCAAGCGTGGCACCCAGGTTTTGGCCACAGGCCGCCATCGAGATGGTGAAGCTGTCACTGAGATAGGAGACATAGTAGGGGGAACAGGCTTGGGGAGAGGTTAAACATGTTGAGTTTGAGGTACTCACAGTACATATGCAGGTGGGGCCATAAAGAAAACAGCTCCAACTATCTAATTCAATGGTTCTCAACCTTCACAGCACATCAGGATCACAGAGAGCTTTAACTACCCACCCCTCAACAATAAAACCTGACTCAAAGCCAATTAAATGACAGTCTGTGAGGATGGGATCTAGTCATGGGTAATCTGTAAAGCTCCTCAGGTGATTCTGTTGCTATAACTAACCACATGGTTTTCACTGTGGAGCTAAAGGCTGTAAAACTCTCATTCCTGCCTTTCATTGAGAAGTCATATTCTGTTCTCTTGGTTTGTACAAGAAAATGTAGAATGCAAAACAGGAGTAATGATTCTTACTTACTGCACCAAGAGCATTGTGAGAAATAATTACTACTTGAAAAACCTTTGGGAACCATAGATGAAAGGCAACAGAGCCCCACCAAGCATTAGTTTTGCCAGTTTCACCTGCTCCTCCTGATGATTTCATCTGAGCGAATGGCGCATGGTTCTATAATTAGTGACACCAAAGAGAGGGTTGGATGCCTTGAAGGGAAGGTCAAGGGTGACGCGGTGATAAGCTCTGTAACAAAGGCAGACCATTTCCTAGTGACTCTATTTTCTTGGCAAATATCACTTCCAGTGCCACATGGAAAAAGAATAAGGCCCAGGATTATACTTTTGGAAGTAATTACTGTTAGAAGCTATGAGGTTCTAAAAACCTATATTAAAGTGTTTCTGTGGGTTTCAGAGTGCTAAAAAAAAAGGACAAAACAGAGAATGATTTTGCCAATAAAATTTGTGTGTTTGGTACACACAACGATCTTCTTCAGTCTCTTACTTTTGCACATGGTGTCTGCAGGGTGAGTGGCTTTCTCTCTCTGGTTATCCAAGGCTCATTTCTCACCATTAGCTCCCTGGGAATGTTTATTGAGTCCTTCTAATGACCTAAGGGTACAGAGTTACTGACAATATTGTCAAAGCCACAAGTCATGCCATCATTCCCCCTGGCTTTTAACAAATTCTAAAATTCTGAGTTCCATCTGCCAGCATACATTGTAAGGCATAATGAAAAAAATACAGGCATATCTCAGAGACATTGCTGGCTCAGTTCCAGACCACTGCAATAAAGTGAATAGTGTAATAAATGGAATCACACATTTTTTTTGGTTTCCCAGTGCATTTGAGAGTTATATTTACACTATACCATAGTCTACTAAGTGTGCAATGGCACTATATCTTTAAAATGTAATATATCTTAATTAATTTATTTTTTTCTTGGAGAAAGGATCTCACTCCTATAGCCCAGGTTCAGTGCAGTGATGCAATCATGTCTGTCTGCAGTCTCAACTTCCCAGGCTCAGGTGATCCTCCCACCTCAGCCTCGTGAGTAGTTGGTACTACAGGTGGGCACCACCATGCCCAGCTAAATTTTTGTATTTTTAGTAGGAAGAGGGTTTCATCATGTTGCTTAGGCTCGTCTCAAACTTGTAGGATGAAACAATCCACCCACTTGGCCTCCAAAGTGTTGGAATTACAGGTGTGAGTCACCACACCCAGTCTACTTTAATTTTAAAATACCCTTTTGCTAAAAATGCTAATGATCCTCTGAGCCTTCAGAGTTGTAATCATTCTGCTGGTGGAGGGTCTTGCCTTGTGTTAATGGCTGCTGACAATTCAGGTGATGGTTGCTTGAGGCTGGGGTGGCTGTGGCAGTTTATTAAAATAAGACAATAATGAAGTTTGTCACATCAATTGACTCTTTATGCCATGAAAGATTTCTCTGTAGCATGAGATGCTGCTTGATAGCATTTTACCCACCGTAGAACTTCTTTCAAAATTGGAGTCAGTCCTCTCAAAGGTTGCCACTTGTTTTATCAACTAAGTTTACATAATATCCTTTGTTGCCATTTCAAGAGCATCTTCACCAGGAGTAGATTCCACCTCAAAAAACTGATTTATTTGCTCATCCATAAGAAGCAACTCCTCATCCTTTCAAGTTCTATCATGAGATTGCTGAATTGCAGCAATTCAGTCACTTCTTCAGGCTCCACTTCTAATTCTATCTTTTGCTATTTCTACCACATCTGCAGTTACTTCTTCCACTGAAATCTTGAACCCCTCAAAGTCATCCATGAGGGATGTAATCAACTTCTTCCAAACTCCCATTAATGTTGATATTTTAACTTCTTCCCATGAATGTCAAATGTTCTTAATGGCATCCAGAATGAGGAATCCCTTCCAGAAGGTTTTCCATCTACTTTGCCCACATTCATCTGAGAAATCACCATCTAGAGCAGCTATATCCTTACCAAATGTATTTCTTTTTTTTTCTTCGAAATTTTTTTCCGAAAACTGCACCAACATAAAGCAGAGCTTTAGTCGATGCAAGTGTGTTTAGGCGTTAGCAGTACTGCCCTCACTATGCGCTCATTGGACAGCAGTGTAACCCCAAGAAAAGGATGGTTACAAATGTATTTCTTAAACAATAAGACCTGAAAGTTGAAATTACTCTTTGATCCATGGGCTACAGAATGGATATTGTGTTATGCATGAAAACAAATTAATCTCCTTGTACATATTCATCAAAGTTCTTGGGTAACTAGGCACACTGCCAATCAGCAGTGATATTTTGAAGTGAATCTTTTTTTGAGCAGTCAGTCTCAATAGTGGGCTTAAAATATTCAGTAAACCATGCTGTAAACAGATGTGCTATCATCCATGCTTTGTTTTTCCATTTAAAGAACACAGGAAGAATAAATTCAGCACAATCCTTAAGGACCCTAGGATTTTCAGAATGGCCAGTGAACCTTGACTTCAACTTAAACTCACCAGCTCCTAACAAGAGAGTCAGCCAGCCTGTCCTTTTAAGCTTTGAAGCCAGGCATTGACTTCTCTAGCTATGGAAGTCCTAGGTGGCATCTTCTTCCAGTAGAAGGCTGTTTCTTCTACACTGAAAATCTGTTGTTAGTGTAGCCACCCTCATCAGTGGTCTAAGTTAGATCTTCTGGATAACTTGCTGCCGCTCCAACACCAGCACTTGCTGCATCATCTTCTACTCTTATTTTAGAGATGGCTTTTTTCCTTAAACCTCATGAACCAACCGGTGCTGGCTTCTAACTTCTCTTCTGCAGCTTCCTCACCTCTCTCAACCTTCACAGAACTGAAGAGAGTTAGGGCTTTGCTCTGGATTGGGTGTTCTGGCTTAAGGGAATGATGTGGCTAGTTGGACAAGACCACTCAAACCTTCTACTTACCTATTAAGGAAACCAAAATATTTCACCCCAAAATATATTTCCTTGATATAGTTCAAGATGGCTATTCAGAAGGAATGTAAAAATAGCTAAAAATCTGCCTTTTGTGAGGGACCTTTGCATATGAAGAGAAAATGTATGTTGATGCAGCCAGGCTTTCTCTGAGGGCCTTCCCTTGCCAGATCTAGGAACCTTAACTGAGACTCTCAGGTAAAGAAACATTTTCCTCTAAAATTTCATCTATATAACAAGACCATCTTTGTTAGCCAGGCCTTCTCTTCTCTCCCTCCCATAACCTGTCTTACCAGCATAACCTGATTTACTGCCATAACCTGGTTTTGGCCATCCTCTGAGCCCTCATTTTTTCTATAATCTCAGGATGGTAAATAAGCTTCTCTGCCCCATCGGGGGTAAGGAGTAATCACTCTGTGATTTTCTCCGTATGCACTAATAAATCTGGATGCCTTTTCTCTTATTAATCTGCCTTTTGTCAGTTGCCTTTTCAGTAAAATTTCAGGGGGCAAAGGGGAAGTTTTCCCTTGACCCCTACGTTGGCAATAAGGCTGCTTTGCTTTCTTATCATTTGTTTGCTCACTGTGTGTAATTTCTTCCAAGAACTTTTCCTTTGTATTCACAACTTTGCTAACTGGCCCAGGAGGCCTATTTCAGCTTTCTACATGCCTTCCTCACTAATCTCAATCTTTTCTAGCTTTTCATTTAAAGTGAGAGATGTGTGAGTCTTTTTTTCACTTGAAAACTTAGAGACCATTGCAGGGTTATTAATTGGCCTAATTCCAATATTGTTGTATCTCAGGAATAGGGAGGCCCAAGGAGAGGGAGAGAGATGGGGGAGTGGAGAAGGCAGAACACACACAATGTTTGTCAATTAAGTTTGCCATCTTATGGGTGCAGTTCGTGGTGCCCCAAAACAATTACAACAGTAACATCAAAGATAACTGATCATAGATCACCATAAGAGGTCATAATGATAATGAATAAATCTAAAAATACTGTGAGAATCACCAAAATGTGACACAGAGACACAAAATGAGCACATGCTACTGGGAAAATGGAACGCACAGACTTTCGCAATGCAGGGTTGACACAAACCTTCAATTTGTTAAAAAAGCAGTATTTGTAAATATCTCACTCATAAGTGGGAGTTGAACAATGAGAACACATGGACACAGGGAGGGGAACATCGCACACCGGGGCCTGTCGGAGGGTGGGGGGCTAGGGGAGGGATAGCATTTAGGAGAAATACCTAATGTAGTTGAGGGGTTTATGGGTGCAGCACATCACCATGGCACGTGTATACCTATGTAACAAACATGCACATTCTGCACATGTACCCCAGATCTTAAAGTATAATAATAATAATAATAAAAGCAGTATCTGTGAAACATGATAAAATGAGGCATGTCTGTAATCACTTAAGAAATCTTCAGGTTTTTTTTAGTGCTAGTCATGTGTATGTGAATATCAGACCCAAAGGGTAGAAATATCTGAGCTGACATAACCATAATCAAAGGCTACTATTCTTTCAGTCACTGAGTAAAGATAAAATCCCCCCAACATCCCAAAGCTATATGATTATGATCAGGAAAGAAATAATCAGAGATATAAGTACAGCCCATTACACAATATTCCTCCAGCAGCTCTCAGTCTGTGTCCAGCAATTTCAAGGACTAGCTGACAGCTTCTTTGAGGAACACTGTTCAGATTACTTTGATCTTGACACACATTAAGATTAAAGATGCTTATCTGCAGGGTGGATAGTTGTGTCCAATAAATGAAACAGCAGTGGCCGGGTGCAGTGGCTCATGCCTGTCTGGCACTTTGGGAGGCCAAGGTGAGCAGATCACCTGAGGTCAGGAGTTCAAGACCAGCCTGGCCAACATGGTGAAAACCTATCTCTATTAAAAATACAAAAATTAGCCAGGCATGGTGGCAGGCACCTGTAATCTCAGCTATATGGGAGGCTGAGGCAGGAGAATCACGTGAACCTAGGAGACGGAGATTGCAGTGAGCAGAGATTCCGTCATTGCACTCCACCTTGGGAGACAGAGCGAGACTCCATTTCAAAAAATAAAAATAAATGAATAAATGAAAAAACTGCTTTGCTTGCCATTGACCTTCTGTGTTCAGATAAAGAAGGCCTTCAGACCAGAAACAGGGGCCTTAAAAAGGTCTTTCCTATCTTGGAACATTTTGTAACAAAAACAAAGACCAAAAGAAACCATATCTTTTTGCAGGCTCATGGGACTGGAAGAGACCTTACAATTATTTTGCGTCTGGCCTCTCCTTTTGTTTTTTGTTTTTTTTTTAATTTGAGACAGAGTCTTGCTCTGTTGCCCAGGATGGAGTACAGTGGCACCTCAGCTCACCACAACCTCTGGCTACTCGGGAGGCTGCGGCACGAGAATCACTTGAACCCACCAGGTCCAGATAATTTCTGTATTTTTAGTAGAGATGGGGTTTCACCATGTTGGCCAAGCTCGTCTTGAACTCTCAACCTCAGATGATCCACTGGCCTCAGCCTCCCAAAGTACTGGGATTAGAGGCATGAGCCACTGTGACCAGCCTGGTCTCTCCTTTTGTAAATAAGGAAACTGCTCAGAGACAGGGCATGCCTTGTCCAATCCTAGGCTTTTTAGAGTCTCCTGGGCCTGACAGTGCTCTCTCTTCCTGTGAACATGCTGAAAGGGACATGCTGGGAGATTTGAGAAGTCAAATTAGTAGTATATGACTTTTTTCATTTCTACCCTACTGCTCTTATCTTGGATGAGGGATGGTTTTAGCATTCAATTTCGCTTATTTTTCTTTATGGGAAGTGAACCACAGCCAGCAACTTCATAAAACCCCACCCCACCCCATCACCAACAGCAATTAGAAGCTATGAAGAAATCTGAGGAGTAGTGTATTTTGCCTTTAGGCATGACAGACTCTACCTGATCCTATCAGATGAACACATTTTTTCCATCTTAAAAAGTATCCACTGACAAAAATGTGGTATCTTCCCTCTGGAAACTCTGCCACTATCTGTGCTGATTTTTGTTTACTGAAACAATATTACTGACCCCCTCACTAGACATAGAGCAAGAACTTGTTCTTGTTCCAGTGTTTAGTGGGGCCCAATCTGTGTGAAGATATTTATTTTCCTTGTGCATTTTCAAGATGAACAGGGCTGCAAGCTCAGGTTCTGGTTTTGTGCACAGCTACAGCTATTTTGTTCCTCTACTCAGACTGTCAGACTAAATTACTTATCTGGCCCCATTTAGCTGAGGACGCCAGCCATCGCAGAATCTGAGGATTCAAGAGATCATTGAGACCAGCCCTCAAACAGAAAGACATTCCTTTATACCTTTCTGAAAACAACTCCAAAGGCAAAACCTGCAAACTCTACCTTAGAAATACATTCTTCCATCTAATCCCAGTTTATCTACGTCCTTTACAAAGGAATTAAAAAGAGTTATTTTTCCTCTCAGTTGAAATAGATCAAGAAAGTCCTTCCAAAGGTTTTGTGACTTACTTTGATATGGGGGTGTTTTGCACACGTTGTCCCCCACACACGGGAACAGCGCTCCTCTTTTCTGTGTTCATAGAATTCAGGATCTCGTAAGATAGCTACCCTCCGTCCACCATATGCCAGGACAAACTTGCTGCACCCTTCCAGCCGTGTCTTATCCTCTGTAGAGAGGGGCAGTAGGATGGGGATGCTCATGTTGATCACGCCATCTGTGGAAAGAGACAAGTGATGCATGAAAACTAGACATAAGGTGGGCCATCCTTGGAGCATAACTCAAAAGTACACAATGCCCCTTCCAAACATTTCCTTCAAGAAGCATTAAGACCCACATCCAAGTAGTTGTGTTAGCTGCACCAGTTTCTCCAGATTCTAAGACGGCAAGTCCTTGAAGGGCTTTCCAAAGCAAATGGAGCATATGTGAAAAATGGGTTGCGTTTCAAATCATGGAGGTGGCCTCTATAAGTGATCTAACTTTGGAAATGCCTCTTTGTAGGTTCCCTTTTCAAATCTAAGTCTTGATCTCAATGCAGTAGGGAGTTTAACATTTTCCAAAATCCAATTAAATAAAATTAAGTTAGCAAAACAAATCAAAACAAAACTCTCTAGTCTTTCTCGGAAATAAACCTTGTAAGAACGTTAGGCAAGTCTCTTATTCCATTATCTGTTTAGGCTCTATCTGCATAC